ATTGCCGCTCCTTGCCCCGTAATGACCCAGACCATTTGCGCCCCAGCTCGTCACCGGCTCGGCTATCGGGTGCGCATCGCGCGCAAAGCCCCGCGGGGGTTCGATCGCCCCCGCACACCGAGAGGGAGGTGTGTAATCCCACCGCATGCAGCTCTTATTGTCCTTGGTAAAGTCGGCCACCCGCGATCTAGGCCAGATGGAGCACTCCCGCTGACCACCCCGTTACTGACCCGCCGCGCCACCGCACACAAAGCTAGAGTATACGTAAACTTGAAGTACAATCGATTTCAAAAAGCAGCTCTACAAAAATTCTAGAATTTATTGAAGAAGTGTCTTTTTTGCGTGCCGTGGCAGGATAAGATCCCCAGTGGCGAAGCGACCGATATGAGTAGGGGTGCACTTCACATATGGCATGCGTGCATGCACCGGTCGTGCACCAGTCGAGCAGTGTACGTGCACGCAGCTGCGGGGCGTTCGATACGTAATGTGACGTCCCTCCCCCGCTTCATCCATTCGTCCCGTGCGCCACTAGGAAAACATGCTGCCCTTCTCCCCCCCTCAGTGACAACGGCCCGGCGACAGCACCGCGACGACGAGCGCGCGCCGCAAGTTTCGAGGGCGCTAAAGTTACCCTCACGGGGGTGCATTAAATTTGCTTTTGAGAATTCGCGGACGTCACGCGCGGACTGTGCACGCGAAGACGGGAAGACAGATACGCCACCGGGAGCGGCGGGGTGTTGTCACACACTCGGAGCTGCGAGCTTCGCATCCCCTCCTCCCCCACTCTCACCCCTATCCTGCGCCAAATCACCAGCAAGCACGCGACCCCCCCCCCCTCTTTTCCCGGCTCCCTTGTCACGTAGGGTGGGTCAGCAACAAAACCGAAACGTCACACACGATCCGGGCAGTCTGGCCTGCTGATGATAACTCGAACCCCGATGCGCAAATATCGCTGCGAAGGTAGAAACGGGCCTAGAGTTTTTCGAGTTCTTCTGAAAGAGTCCCACAACACCTCATCACCCAGGTGAATTTCTTTTGTCTAATGAATGACTTCTAGGAGAAAATTTGTTTTATACATCAAGGGGCACTAATTTTAAGAGATTTTAACTTCCGGTAGAACGAGGACCTTTGGCTGATGCAATTTAAATGACCATGCACAGGCTTACTGTACATCATTATGATTGCACTACTTTTCGAATAAAAAACAGGGCTAGGTAAATAACTTATTTTGGGTAATTTTTGATGTTAACATCTCTTAAACGGTCCGAGTTCAAAAAGTTATGAATAAAAAATACAAATTTTAAAATCAATTTTAAATTGAAGTTATTCTATTCACAACTTTTTAAAACTTTAAACGTTCAGGAGATATGAACACTGAGAGAATTCAAAAATTATTAAATTCAGCACGCCCCGTCAAAAAGAGGCAATATTTTCCGATTTCACGCGACTTTGCCAATACGCCCCCCAGAGCAAGCAAGGGCGATGGGGTCGCGGGGAATGAGGTTGTGTTTGCCTGGTTAGCGCGCGGGGTGAGCCCCGG